TCTAGTTTTAATATGTCATCGACTGCTTTGATCAATGAGGATTTTATATAAAACGCGTTTTTTTTTTCCAAACGTGATTTTTTTTTATTACTCGATGTACCTTTTCTCAGGAACTCTACTTAGAGGTATCTAAATTTTTATGGCTTATTATTAGGTTCCTAATATTACTGAAATGAGCTTTTTGTGATAAACTTAGAATAAAAAATTTTAAAAAGTTTTTTGTGTGAGAATGCTAAATTTTACTATGTTTAACAAAATATTCTGTAAATTACTCTAAAATCCAAAATGTTTCAAAAGCTCATTTCAGTATAATAAGATAGGTATACTTTAATTACACAAAACATTTTAAGCGTGCATCTACAGCAGATTTTGAGAAAAGGTACATCGAAAATGGCCAATTTAACATTGTCGGTAAAGAGGTTTCTGATACCCCTTAATAAACGGTCATCTGACATTTTTTTTTTTCAGTATATTTAAATAAGCTGTATATTATGATTTCCATCAACAAATATGTTTTTTCCAACTCCATTTCTAGCCACGCTAACCTACATAATCAACAGCAGCTTCATGATTGATTTATGGAAATCAGTGGCTTAAAATTCCCAAAAATATTCGTCTTAATCACGGGAGTACAGCCATCATCATTACTAAATTTGATCTCAACACTTAATTCCAAAAGTTCTAGATCATGGCTTCTTAAACTTTTTTTGTAGTGACTCCTTTTTATCACCGAGATTTTTTTCACGACCTCTGGACCCCATAACATTTACGAAAATTTTGTGGGACCTCATAAGCATTGCGCAAATCTGACATACGCGCGAGTGAAACCGTCAGTTTTTTCACTTGTACTGTAATATACTATTGCAGTTTTAGGTCATTAACTTTAATTTCTAATTTTAAGACATGGAAAAATGTGAAAATTTTAAATAAGTAACACATGAAATGACAGTGTCACATGCAAAGCAAGTAAAATGAACGTTTATATTATAAAAAGAAAGCGTGGAATCGTTTTCGTTTTTTTCTTTTTTTTTTTTTGGTCTGTATTATCTTATCCTTATCTATTTTCAGATACATTGTGTAAAAATATTTGGTAATTGTAAAATTATTACAAGTTAAAGAAATATCAATACTGCTAAAACTTTTGGCAACCCTCTGGTACAGGTTCCTCAACCTACAGTTTAAGAAACTCTGCTCTAGATCGTCAGTAAGCTAAATTACAAGTAAAACACCCCCAGACTTGCCTTTAATATTCAATTTGATGATGAGTAGCTTGCCACAATTGTTTCTAAAAGTTAAACAATAACAAAACAGGAAAACTGATCATAACTAAAAAAATATGCAAGCAGACTGGACGAAAACTGGTGATAATACACTTGTAAGTTAAAAACAAGAAAATGCTGATGTCACAATGGATGTTATATTGTGAATGCTGATATCAACAGGAACATAAAATCTCTTAAATTCGGACACATAAGTTTAATACAAAAAATTTCTGAATAATAAATATAATCACTCGAATACTAGTACAGGCCTGACAACGATGTTTCATTCTGTTTATAACGAGGTCAACCAGCTAGCTGTTTGGGCAGCAATGGCGACTGATCATGTAAAAGCAATTCTAAATCAACTAGTGATTGGGGATAGGGCTGGAGGTCAGAAATACGCCTCTTGAGAGCACCCTACACGTGCTTAATTGGATTAAGGTTGGGAAAGTGTGCTGACCGTTCTATTTGGAGTTAAGTTTTTGCGTCAAGAAGCTGGTGAACAAGGCGAGCAATGTGAGGGCGGCCATTATCTGCTTGCAAAATAAAGGTATCGACAATTGCGACCGTATACAGATGAATTATAGGATTCAGTATGTTGTCTCTGCACCTCTGAGCATTAATTGAGTTTTATGTGTCAGTGCATACAGATTTGTGCGCTTACCTAAAACTACTTTCCCATGCAAGAATACTTACCTACTGCAGAGGTATTAATTTTCCGTATGTTAGAGGGAAAATATCGAATGTTTACTTCCTATTACATGCAAGTACATCCAGAATCACTTGATAAAGCAAAGCAGGACTCATCAATGACCAGAGCAGGGGTCTACTGATTTTCAGTGAAGTTTATCTGACTATGCGGCCTAATTCAAACACTTCCTCTACTGGTGGGAGGTATGTGGGTCGCACAATGCCAGTCGCCAAGTATACAAACCTCTTTCATGCAATATGTCGTGGCTGATAGGGTCTTTCTTGTAGCAGAAATAAGGCGGATCTAAGTTGAGATGGAGCTGTAGTCCTCTTACGATATGCACTTAAGTCATCACAAATACTGGCCCTTTGCAGAAGTGGCAACTCTTGGCATACTTTCGGTAGGTCTTCAAGAGGCTGAACCAATTGTTAGAAACTGGTTCCACAACCGACTTAGCACGGAACGATTTACATTTAGCCATATTGCAATGTCAGATTGTCGCTGCCCAACTTCTAATCAGTCTAAGGTTCTTTAACGCAATTCTGCTGCGAAATGCAGCTTCGAGCTCATTATTACACTTAGGTTACTTCGAAACTGTTTAATATACGTAGTTTATGGAACAGCGATTCTCTCTTAAACAGCTCGTTTTATGCTGTATCATATTTACATAAAGCGAAGAATTACATAAGCACTTTTGCATCATGCTACTCGATGCAGCTTGCTTTTACTTGTAACATATACAAATTAAAAAAATTTCAAAAATGATTTTGGTTAAAATTCCATAATCGGGGTGAGCGACAAGCTTGGCGAGTTTTTATTTGGCGTGATTTTAATTTGGTTGGTGGTTTTATGGTGTATGTTTTCTTGTGGCACCTAGAGTATTATTTGGTAACTGTAGGAGCGCGAATTTAGTGTAGCCAGATTTTTTTTTTTCAATTAATTTTGAATACTGTTGTTTTTAAAGTTTACTGTTTAAATTATTGTTATACATACGTTAATATTAATTTATATAAATTTGCAGAAGGTTAAGCTGTTGTTGGTGGGAGAGTGTTGGATTCATATGACATGAAGTTTATAATTTATAAATGTTTTCATTAATTTTATTTAGTAATTTTTTTAAAGTTTGTTTCTTACATGTGGCAATCGAAAGATGTGGATATTAAAGCTTTGAATGAAAGTTGTTTATGTGTGAATTCCACGATGATAGTAATTGAGTATTTTAGTTAGTTTATGATGCTGAATACGCATAATTGCTATTCTGTGTTTATGTTTAAAACTGAGTTCGCAGTGCTCTGATTATAAGTGTACATTTATTTACTCAATATATTTACAAGAATTGTTCATTCTATTTATGATGAATTAATATATATAGGAGTATGCTTTTACTTGCAAGCTGTAGATTTTTTTACTCATCTAGTATTTGATCATCTCATTTTACTATTCTGTTTACATAAAATAACGGCGTTTCACTACTGTAAAACTATTCTACTATTCTGTTTATGTTTAAAAATCCCTTTTTAGTGCTTCTATTTAGTACACCTAAAAAATTCGCCAAATTTTGAAGGCCAAAATAGTTTGGTGCCAACTTAGCCCGCTTATGGAATTTTAGCCACGATTTTGATCAATTTATCCAGATTTTACGGTTTGATTTTGGCAATCAGTACCGTTACCTTCCTACCAGTTTTAGGGATGACAATGAATGTGATTTGTGTAAGAATAAATGATACTTGTTTTCAAGAAAACTGTATTAAATGAAACAAGGAACAGAACATCCTGCATGTTTATGTATTGATTTAGCTATTTTTAAATAGAATTAATTAAAACTGTTTTATATTACCGTGCAATGCAGCATAAGACTTATTTGAAGAGAAAGCTGTGGCGGAAAAATTAAAAATAGAGGAGCACGCACATTTAATAAATAGATCTGTCGTAATTGTACTCTTTTAATATCGAGAAGTTTCGCGTGCATTTAAAAAGCTTATAAAAGCAGAAGGAAAACCTCTCAATTCAGTTGTTTAGCAGCTGTTTTACGAATTGTTTTAGAAAACTGCTGTTTATTGTAGCGAATTCGCGGCGAGATAGGATTAGCTTTTTCTATGTTTCTCTGTTTTGAATTAAGTTCTGTTGAAAGTTTGAGTAGTTTAGAAGATAACTGCTGTCAGATATTGCAATATTGTACGAATATCTGAGGAAATTTAAGCATTTTGTTTTATTTGTTGTAATAATAATAAATTTTATTCAGTTTTCATCGGACTTGTACATTCAACTTATTACGAACCCGTACACACACAACAATATTGCTATTTTAAATAAACTCCTTACACAATTGTACAAAATATGATATATAATGCGCATATAATGAACAGAATTTCCGGCATGTTTATACATATTGCTATTTTAAATAAACTCCTTACGTAATTGTATAAACTATGATATATATTGTGTATATTATATATTAAATAAATTCTGCTAAATTATGTTATATTTAAAAAATTGCTGACGAAATTGTAATAATTTCTATAAGTAATAAAAATGTATATTAATTTCCTTCAATGTATAGATATATTAAATAATTTGTATTGTAAGGTTATCAAATAAAATGCCAATTTATCTTTAACCCTAGTCAAATCGTTTTAGTGGATGTTTAACATTTGTCAACTTTCTTAAACTGAAGACAAAATACCAAATATTTTTTAAAGCTGTGCAATCAAAAGTCTATTACTATTTATTAATTTTTAAACTTGCACTTAATCGCCAAATTTTGTTTATATTCTATATACTGCTTTCATTTTACTAAATTACTCATAAATTTTATATGCAAAGGAATGCATCCTCTTCTTGCGGAGTCATTATATATAAGCAAAACTATAAAGACGAAATAGGGAAGTTTTCAAACAACAAAATTCATTTTAAAACCTAATATTGCATTAAAAATATAATATAAACTTAATGTAAGTTGCATAAAGAAATCACTTCACATTACATAGATATAAAATAAATTACTTCACTTAAAATGATATTTAATTTAAGAATTCTAAAGGACGTACCATTCGTCACCAGGCAGCTGAAGGCATTTTTTACCTGAAAAACAAAATTCAATTTCAAAACTTGCACAGAAAAATTTTATATGGTGCTACTTTGGTAAACAGTTGCACGGATTTTTGGCGATTTACATTGGCGCTATTGTTGGCGCGGTTTTATAGTCATCAGGCATCTTGAAAAATGCTGTTTTTACGTATTTTACGCATATAGTAAAGTATTAGAAACTTTACATTTTTTTTTAAGATGCCTCGCAAATGTAAATAAATACATTTACTAAGAGTATAAAATGCTAAAGTAAGGTTAAATTATTACTTTCATATAATAGAATAAAAACACCACTATAAAAACATTGCGCCAACATTTAATTGGATTAAAATATTGCTTAAATTGAATATCGAATTAAAAACATCATACCAACCTTTAAAAGAATTAAAAATATTACTTAAATACTTTAAATAAGTTTTATAGGATTAATTATTTAACATAAAAACATATGTGGCATAAATATCTCAGGAATTTTTGAAAACATTGTATTAAGTTTTTAATAAAAGTGAATTTACACTTATAAGTAAAAGAAATTATCTACTTACATTTTTTTTTAAAGTATTTTACCTGTCGTATATTGAAGGTACCAGAAAAAGAAAACGATCTTCATCTGTGATCCACATCTCTCGCACTTCATTGGAGAAGCAATTAGCGAGGTTTTCTCAAAAATTTAAAATAAATTTCTCTGACGCTATTAACAATTATAATAAATATTGAGTAAGAAAGCCAGGTTGGCCAAATAAGTTCTCAAAGGGCAATTTTTTTATTCCGATACCAATAATTTTGGTAATTACAATAACAACCTTCTCTTCGAAAACAGACATATCCATTCCTTTGAAATCTGAGGAATTCGAAGACATGAATAATAAAATTTTAAAATGGGGCGGTATGCAAATATTCAGTAACCAATAAGGGAGCTGATTACATTACGATAGAATTAAAATTATTAAATAATCATTCATAATAAAATCATTTTAAAAACAAATGCAAATTAAATTGCATTTAATATTTAGCAGCCATAAATAATGTCACTGATTACATCATCACAGCATAAAATTATATAAATATTATAAACAACAATTTTTATTTCAAATAAAAATGCAAAATTAAATTGATTTTTAATATTTAGAAGCCCATAAATAATATTTAAAACCGGAATTTATGCATAATAAAACGCATATTTTAAAATAAAATGACAACAAAGTATCGGTTACCATAAATAACTTATACAGCAATGGGTTTACCATAAAGTCGTATTACTCGCCAAAAGAAAAATTGCCAAAATCCGTGCAACCGTCTACCAAAGTAGCACCTTTTATCTTTTATATTCGCACATTAAATAAAAAAGATTGATAGTTACCAAAAGATCTGTAGAAAGCAAAATAACTTTGCCACTTTTGGGCATTGCATCATAGCAGGCATGAGAACCCAAAAACATAGGAATAATCTTGTCATCGTCTGAAAAAGAAACTTTTACATGAAATGTTATTCAATTTAAAAATAAACAAAACTGATAATTTAAAATTTTTAAATATTTAAGATTTAAATACAGAATTCCACGATTTGGCCAAAACGTTAAACGTCTGTTTTCCGCGTAAGCGTCTAATGAGATTCCGCAGGAGAAGAAGAATGATCTTGGTTGCTTATATTAGCTATACATATGTTACGTGATCTCCGAGGTTCATCTGCATTCTTTGTTTACAAAAGCTATACATAAGTCACGTGATCTATGAGGTCATCGGAATGCATAAGCCAGAAACTAAACTTGAAGTACTGGAGGTGCTAAAGCAGCAAGAATCTGCGTAATATTCCTAAATTTGCTAAGACAAGTTTCAAGGTTCTAAAAATACAGAGCCATCTTATTCAGCTGCAGAAGTGCAGAAAGCGAAGCCTGGGCTCCAGGATTTAAGAGAGAAGTGCTAGTTCATACAGCTCCCCCCCCCAAGAAACAGGAAGTGAAGAGTGATGACGTAGCCATGTTGACACTGGCTGCAATTTGTAGCAAAGATATAAAAATTTTAAATTTGAGAAAAAAGAGAAAATTTTATTACTGTAAGCATTTTAACGTTTAAAAAGTTAATAATATTTATTTATAAATTTAAAAAATAATAGATAAAATAAGCTACGCTTTCTTAAAAGTTGCAAGTTTCTTCCTCTGAGCATTTATTATTAAATCATGAAGGGGGAAAAAACTATAGCATTCATTATTTTTACTTCGAAGAGAAACACTCTAGCTTAAAATTTACAGTTAGGTCAAAAAAGCAATCTTAGATTAGATTAAATTGTGAATAAAACTACCGATTTCGAGGGTGGGCAAACAGTTCCTCTTCTTAAGCTGTGAAAAAAAAAAAAAAACATATATTCAACATTACGCCAAATTAAGGGTTTTTTTTGGGGGGGGCTAACTTTAAAAAGCTTCTGTTACAGTAATTTTAGACAGAGTAATAGAATTCTTTCACTTAAGCATACTAAGTGAGAGAATTTTATTACTCTTCGGAATTCCATGCGCCGTACATCTGAGGTGTACATTGAAGTCGGTGGACAAAACCTCGAACGCTATCTTTGAGTTATGTTACATTTTTTCACGTAAATTTATTGTAAAACGAATATTAACTTACATGGCATCTTTTAATTTCTGATGTTTCTGTATACATCAACGCGTCAGGAAAGCATTTCTGACCCTGCACTGCTATAGAATTCCGAATCACTAGGGGTGCACCCTACCCCTGCTAGAAGTTCTAAAACATGGTACTCAGACATCCTGTACATAACAAAAATAAATAAAAACAGTTCAAAATCTAAACCAAAAGCGCGCTGAAGCAGCAACCAGTGGTGGTAATAATGCAAAATAAATTAAAATAAATAACATGTTTAAACTCATCCCATTCAGTTTGGAATATACATATGCAAAAACCAAAAATCCAGAAGCACATTAACAAACTGCAAGAAAAAGGGGGCAATAGATGTCAAAACCAAAAACGAAATAAGGTATAGATTACTTTAACTGTTTTTCTGAGATTTAAACTTCAAACTTTGATTTGTGTTTTCCGTTAGTTTAGACACAGCTGATTCATTTACTTCTTGCGATGTACCAACCCCCTAATGACGATTGGGCGAAAGATGTAAATTTCTCATTTGACTTTTGGATTTGATATATATCGTCTCCTTTTTCTTGCACTTTGTAAATGAGCTTCTGGATTTTGGGTTTTGCATATGTTTTTTTAATTGACTATGGGATGAATTTTAAACGCATTATTTTATTTTGCATTATATATACACACACACACACACTGCGCTCCAAAAGTTAAGGAACAGCATGTTTTTTTGTGTCGTGTCTAATTTGAGAATGAAGCAATATAGAAACAAGAAATTTATACAACATGTTCACTAAACAGTTCTTTAATGAATGCGACATAGAATGTTTCGAAAGTTCATCACAAACATGAATTACAACAAAAAATTACTTTCTTGGCAGAAAAATCCAGTCTTGGAGAAACAGTATATCACAGCTTTTTGAGGAAAAATGGGGTGGTAACATTACAAAAATGGGTTCTAATAAAGAATGTGCCCACCCCTAGCTGCAATACATTGACGGCAGCGACGTTCCATGCTGAAGCTGTCGGTCAGTGAAATGGGAAGCAATGACCAGACAAGGAGTAATCCTTGTTCAAGCTTATTTAACGACATTGGAGGAGGACTTAAAGCAGCATCCTGTTTCCTAAGGTAGTCCCAAAATGCTTTATCGGATTCGGGTCTGGGGTTTGAGCTGGCTATTTCATACGCTCCATACAATGACCCTCAAGATATTCTTCAGCAACTCGAGCTCGGTGCGGCTGCGCATTGTCGTCCATCAGAAAAAAATCCAGGACCAATAGCAGCGGCATATGGGTGGACAAATTGATCAAGGGTTTCGTCTCGATATCTCACACCGGTCAAAGTTCTTCCATTTAACACATGCAGATGAATGTGACCACCGAGTGAGATCCCAGCCCAAACTATTATTCCACCATCTCTGTAACTGTGTTTTTCCACAATGCGGAATTAGTTGTATCTGGTGCGTTGTTCCCTCCAGATCAACTGATGACATGAATCACTCTCCAATGGGAATCTGGACTCGTCAGAGAAGATAACAGATGCCCATTGTTGACTGGTCTAGGAGACTTGGTCTTTTGCCCAACATAAAAAGGCACCTCTGTGTCCTCGGGTCAAGGGGACACAAACAACTAGTCGTCTTGCACACATACCTGTATTGTGCAGGCGTCTGTGCACTGTAGTAGCTGAGATTTTTGTTCCTGTTTTTACTAAATGATCTGCAATAAGCTCAGGGACAGCAATGTTATTCCTCCTTCGGGCCAAAATTCTCTCGCAGGTGTCGTAACTCTAAGTCTGCCTAGAACGTCTTCTAGACACAGAATCCTTGGAATCAAACAGATTCCATAGTCGTTGGACCACACTACGAGAGACATTGACACGTCTAGTAGCATCAGCTTTTGACGTTCCCATTTCCATCCATCCGATCGCATGCCTCCTCAAATAATTGGGTTGGACTTCTCCTGGATATTGTCTACGAAACTGTAATAACAACTGATAATCAACACACGTGAACAAAAATTACAATTTTTGCATTTTTGTATGAAATCCATTCCATTTTCAAGCTAAGTCAAAAAGTGGAGCCATGTGATATGATGGCTAAGGGTTCACGCCATTGGCTGGGACGGTAAACTTTTGCAACTCATGTACAAATATTCATTTCTATAAAATAAAAGTGGTAGCTATTGTTTTTACACATATTTTCTTAAACTTCGTCTCTGTCATGCATATGAACTGTGAATTTAAACGTTATTGACATTTTTGTAACGGTGAGCTTTGAAAAACATGTTGTTCCTTAACTTTTGGAGTGCAGTGTATATATGAGAGACTAGAGAAAAGGTCAAGACTTTCGAAAGAATATGACATTTCTCCAAAACTCGGATGTATCTAAAGAACGTTTCCAGCTACAACCAAAAAATCTTAAACGAGCACAAATATGAACATAAATATTTCAATAATTTTGTAACTGTCTTAGATTCCTTTAATGAAGAATACATGGACAGATTTCGAAGAACATATTCTCATAACGGCACTAGCTTTTGAACCACATCTGATCGATACCTTAAAAGAACCCATGGAATTGATTAAGTTGGGGGAAGATAATATTTATTCAATCTCATAAAAAATTCCAATGAAATATAGAAAATTAAGTTAAATATCTAAATTCGCGTGATTTGCTTTCCTGCTTTGGAAGTACTGCTGCAAATCAACATTTTAATACATACCTTTACCTTCACTCGCATTTGATACTAACTACTGTGAGTTATCACCAATAGATGAAGTATGCCTTAAGCCTTTCACGTTTGTATCAAAAAGAAGATGTAATATTGGTACATCTAATCACCCAGAGCCGTAGAATGCATTCAAAAACTCTACGGTTTGGAATAATATGGTCGTGGGGAAGTAAAAGTTTCTATAGATCTTAAATTGTAAAGCAATCTTTTACAAATGGTCGTATTCAGTCTCTGCTAGATATTAATTCAGAGTTATTTAAGGAAAAGCATTCTGAATTGAGAGCACTTTGTCACAAAATAGGAAAACAGTTTAAGTCTGCATTCAATTAATCAGTAATATCCTTAACATGCACCGAAACGTCAAAGTTTACTCTTACGTCAAAGTCAGACTTTGGTCAAAAACACAAAGTTCATAAAAATTAGTAGAATTTGCATTCACACACAATTGTCTTTAATCAAAAACACAAAGTTTATAAAATTTTGTAGAATTTTCAGTCACTCAAAAGTCACATCACATGAAGACACATTAAAAATTTATTCGCAGATACACCCTTGTGGGCGTTTCAACGAAAAAAGTAGCACAATTTCCACTTTAAATCTTGGAATTAAACATAAAGCATCGTTACATCATTTGAGAGCATCGTTACTAATTTCATCAAGTCTTTTGCTTTTCGGACTTTAAGTTCTTTAATAATTTGCCTTTCTTCTCTGGGAGAGGTGAGTTCAATAAAATTAGAGGAGGTGTTGCCTTTCAGAGATTGAACCCGAGCAGTACTTAAGTACTGTAGAAAAGTACTGAATTTCTTCTTCAAGCTCAGTGTTTTCTTCAGGGTGTGGCTTGAAAACCTTTTCCTAGCTTTTCAGCCATTAAGTTTGCAATCGCAGCTTCTGAGTGGTGCATGACACCCATGTGATTAATAGGAGAGACGGCATTGATCCTGCTTTGTTCTTAGAGACCGGGCAATCCTCCAGACTAAGTTCGATTGTAAGTCCATATTTTCAAGCAAGGAATCCCATTTATCAGAGCGGAATTCTTGGACATCGTTTTTAATTTTCCTATTTAGGTAATTTAAGTGTCTTCTGTCTTGAGGATTTCGGGATAACTGCCATCGTTTCCTGGCTCGATTTCTTCTTTTTAACTCTTTTATTCTAGTCGGGAGTGCAAGATGATTTACAGAATTTCTATGAGAAGAGGCATTCTTAATAGCAATTTGCATTTTATGCCTAAGTAAGTTGATTTTCAATATCACCACAGTGATTAAAACTATAGCTACAGGTATAGTCTAAGCTTGTCAGTGAATTTGCTCCAGTTAACTTTGTAAGAAATTTTCTTTCAGGGCGGGTAAATTCCGTAAAAATCAAAGCTTATCGGGAAATGGTCAGACATCAAATCTTCGTGAACTTCCAGCAGAGGAGAAGTACTTACATTTTTGAGTAGCACAATATCCAGAATTTCACCTGTGCCGTTATGATGCAGGCGGGTAGGAGTGTGAGGGACAACAAGCCTAATATCATTACTTAGCATATAGTTATTCAGAATCCGGCCATTTGCATTGTCCGTCATTCAGAATCCGGCCATTGTATTATTCCAATTATGGTATTTTGAGTTTAAATCTCCCGCAATTATCGTGGGATAATTTGTAGAAGAAAGTATGTCAAGATCGTAATTTTGGAGAATTCCATTCGGAGGGAGATACACTTCATTCGTAGTACTATAAACAAGCATAGCAGTATTTTCAATAAGGTTAGTTGCAGGGAGGTGAATAACAGTGTTTTATATGATTTTTGATAAAAATCGCGGGTTCTCCACCCCTGTTATGCATTCTATCATTTCTGGCAATAGAGAAACCTGGAAGTTTAATTTTGTCATTCCCTTTAAGGTGGGTCTCGTTAATTAGCATTAAATCAATCTGATTTTTATATAAAAAATCTCCGATTTCGTAGAGTTGATTTTTAATGCCTCTAACATTGAAATAGCAAACTTTCAAAAAGCCGGCGTTGGCTGCAATCACAGTATTAATATTTTGATTTGAACTAAAATTCATAATCAAGATTAGTAAAGTATTCGAAGGCTTTCATGCCAACTTAAAGTTTAGCTAATATATTTTTAGTATTTTAAAATTCATTGAATAATTCTTTCGCTTTTTTCACCTGTGTTTTGAACCAATCCAAATAGGTGGGCTGATCTTCAGTAGGTTTTTCCAAAGCCGAAGGCTTAACTTTAGGGTTAGCACTAAAAAGGGCAGGAAATTCATCATCCTTTAGTTCAAATTTTCTTGCTTTAGTTGCTTTTAGTTTCTTATGATTTTCCATGCTTTTTTGAATTTTTTCAAGGTGCTGCGAACAACCTTTATACGATGAGACGTGGGGACCTCCTCAAAGGGCGCAGATAGCTGGTTTTTGCTCTCTAGTTAGCTTACAAGTATGAGTTTCATGATATTCGGCGCATTTCAGACAGCGCGCTTTATAATTACACAGGGGCCCGTATGTGTCCATAGCGCTGACACTTATGACACTGCACGGGCCCTGGCCGCGATTTACATGTTTCAATGCGAACATCTAGTCCTCTTAGGGTCTTGATTTCATAGATCTTCTTAGCTTCTACATTCCTCTTACATTCAGCTACAAAGAGCGGGAGAGGGGTCACGTTACCATCTTGAAAGCTTTTAAGCTACCTAATTTTTTCAATTGGAATTCCTTGATCCTTGA